TCTGCTCATTAGTCATCACAACCAACATGATGTATCCCTTTTTTGCCTTCTGTGAGTTAAGCTTGAGTAATACCTCTGTCTTCCCATAAATGACGACCTTCTTCATGACATAGCATAGAGGGAACAGGTTGTTGTGTATTCCCAAACAGATTAGTTACCTTGTTTTGAATGACTGTTTCTGCAAGGCAACCACAGGTAACCACAATGCCAAAATGGAGATGTGTGATGATGCACGGATGACAATAACAAGGATGGTTTCATAGGGAGATGCTCTCAACCACAGCTGGAATGCTCTCATTATGTCTTTGCTTGTGTTCAAGTTGGATCTTCCAGTTCCTACTTAGAGGGTACCTGTACTAGGACACAATAACTGATAACATGAAGAAATAGTTCCAAATCCGCTATTAAAGATGCGTAATAACTTTCTATATCCACTCTGCTGGGACAAAAAAAAACGCCTTCTGACCGTCCGAGAAGATTTTTTCATTTGGAAATCCAAAACTGTAGTTTCATATCACAGGACGGTCAAACGGGAGCTGACGATTTCAACTTTATTGAGCAACTCTACGTGGGATCAGACATTGAAACGTGATAAAGATTGCCAACATTGTGCATATCCCAAATAAAACAGCCTGATAATTTTACACAGTCTCCATGAGTGACTGGATTGAATTGGTGATTTGAAAACTAAGGGTATGAAGGCACGGATGATGATTTCAGATTACTATGAGAAACTTCCCAGGCCAGGAAAAACCCATGGAAAGTAATCAAGTGGCAGAGTGATGTCATTCTGATTAAAGGCGGCCTGTCAGACTGCTGGCGACTATGGGTGCTCTTTGGCATCGGCCACAGCCCACTATATACCAGAATTTGACATCAAAGCAGGTACCAGGCTTGGCTGAGAGGCTGGTACTGATCATTGTCTTCTTTGATTACAGTAGCCTCTTCATGTTGGAGAGAGGATGAAAGCAAATGACAACTTGGTGTTAAAAGAGTGTCAAAAATAATGAGGCATATACAATACACTAATGGGGTCACAGTGGCTCAGTGGACTAAACCTAATGACTGGCTAATTTCTTTGAACAGGGAAGTCTGGTGGAGGTTTGCGATTTCTTGTAAAGTTTACCTTTATTCTAAGTGTAATTCTAATCTATGATCTCAAATCTGGTGTCAAGAGTTCCAACTTTATCAGGTTTATGCTAGATGCTGACAGCTCTCTCCCTTTGATATCTCAAATTCTTCATAAAACCAAAAAAAAAAAAAAAACTAATAAAAAAAAGTTATGGCAATTGTTGTATCTTTAAAGTCTACATCTAAAGAAAAACAGCTTCAAATATAGCTCTCACATAATTGAATAATGTGCATGTTTTCCAGCAGGGTGTGGACTTCAAAAGAGCTTCCCCATAGAGAATGGCAGGTTAAAGGACAGAAAGTGAGTAATGTGTTGTGGCTCTCCCGTGATGACCTGTAATAAGGGCTTTTCCATGTCCTTTGGCATATCTGTGGCATAAATAAACATTTCTGGGGCTGAGGAGCTGGATTCTCCTCCCGTCTGACAGAAGATGAGACTAGGTGCAGGGGCAGAAGGGCTGCCGCCTCTCTGGTGATGATAATAATAGCAGGTTTTCAAAGGCAATTGCTCTCTGTTTCCCTCTCTGTTACTACATGGCAGAGGGCACTGCAAAGGGTGATTCAACCACCAGGCATGAGTGGAAAACTCCTAAAGGATGGCTACACGTGCACTCACATACCTCCAACAGAGCCCGGTCCACCTCAGTCATCCTCTAGTGCACCAACACATTCCGACACACACGGGGACATGCAAAAAAAAAGGCCAAGCGTGATCCCTCGGCCTGACACAAACACATCGATCTTGCTTAGTGGGACTGACGTGTGACAGAAGTGTTTGCGGGAAACGGCAGCTACTTTGTGACCATTGACAACAAACAGCTCAGCTGTCAGCTAAAATTTTTTGATTTCCCCCTCAGTGCCAGAGAGAGCCCTAATGAAAGCTGTCCTGTCTTAAAAGAGTTCATTTTTATCAAACGGAGCATCATCTGCAACCAATAGACGTCGTCTTCTTACGAAATCAGAGCCTGCTGGACAGATGTCTACCGCCTCTCCTACTCCATCTCACTCCCCGTTTACATCCACATCTTAGATGGCACCTCTTGACTCCAGTCAGGATCAAGGTTGTTTACTGATTCTCTGGGTAATATCAGAAACATGTGGGCCGGGGCACATGAAAGGAGCTTGACAACCATGTCGACACCCAAAAAGCCTCTGTACATGTTTGTTTTGGGTTCGGAACGAAGGCTTTTGACATAAAATTAACGGGACCTGCTTCCGGAGGCTTGCCTCAAGGTGACACGGAACAGGAGCCGAGCCTCCAAATGTTTCCACAGGGGCGGATAGTCTCACGCTGCTCAGCCACGTCAAGTTTCCAGCCAACCTCTGCCGTGACCAGCAATAAATCCAGTTGTCTTTTTGTTTTTTCTATCAAGAAATGATGAGACTTCGCACAGATTTACGTATGTATCAACCACCTTGTTCGTTCTAAACGCCTGAGATTTTCCCCAAATGTTCTCTGCTCCCTTTTTCTGTCCCACTTAAATGCTTTGTGGCATCTTTCATTTAAGCACCGGGCTCTGTTGTTGTGATCCCACTACCCTCACATTGCCGTATCGTGTTTGATGCTGTTGTCACGTGGTGTCTGTGCACTGTGTGGGAGCAAGTGTCAATTGAAGAGAATTTTAAGAAAGCTCTCCGTGAAATATAAAGGTTTTATAGTTGGTGATCTCTCCTTTGTTCTCCCATTGAGGACCTCCACCTGTTTCTGATGATGTGAGCCAGAGCCTGTCCCTTTCATGAGGCTGATCCCTCCTGATCTCTTTGATGTAACCTGACCTAACAGTTCCAAATAGCAGGATTTGATGATCACGGATAGACCCTCGGCAACAGCATGTGGAAATCAGAGCTAACAGACATTGGGAGATGGACGCTGGGGATGTGCGGGCCGGGCTGCCGGGCTGTGTGTACACAGAAAGGGGGCTCGCGGAGCTATGGTGTGTCTATACGCCAGGCAGGCAGTGGTCACATGATCAATGCTGCCAGCCCAGACTTAAGCAGTAAAACCTGTGGATCTGTGAGGGCACATGCAACTGATCGGAGATGAAAGACAAGCTTCGACTTTCACAGGAGGCCTACAGTTGGGGTGGGACCAAAGGGGGCACTTCTGAGGGACTGCCATCAGAACAGCTGGGTCATTTTCAAATGACCTAATTCTAGGATTAATCCATTCAGACTTGTATGGATAAATTTCCCTCTATGCTACACAAAGAGGATATGACACAAAGAAAAATGAGAGAGAGAGAGAGAGAATTACTACTGAAAGCCAGAAAAGCTTAGCGCTCAGAGTTCAAACAAGGTGCATGGTATGAAAAAAAAGATGAAAAAAATAAAAAAACTCCATGCACAACAGTAGCAGAGCTAACCGGCGTTTTGGACTTTGAGCCTCTCAGCGTTGTCCATGTTTTCCCCCCACACATTCAGAATGCGTGAGTATCTGTGGCTCGGCCCAGAATGGGGCATCTCCTCATGGCTGGGAGTGTGTCAGAGGCCACTGTCCATCTGCGAGTGATTTCAGGGTTACATTTTTGTGGATGACGTGTGATAAAACAGAGAGGTATGGGTCAGAACGACTAGACTCAATCTGTGACAGAGCCCTCCTTCTGGCCTTTACCACATGTTTTAATCCATATAAGCATGTGTTTGAAGTTCCCAATGAAAACCATCAGTACGGATTGGGACGTTTCAGGCATCGTACCTGGTTCGTAACATCTTTAACATCGTTTAGGCACACTGATGGTGTTACAGTGAGTGAGACGGTTTCTCTGAGAAGACACATGGTGATCAGAAGTGATCGCTTCAAGTCCAGGCTATCTATGTCGTTTGTAGCTACTTTGGTTTTCTGGCACCTAGGGGATTTAAATTACTCAAACTATACCCGAAAGTAGAGGATTGTTTTGTGGCATCCAAAAACAAAAGAAGATGGACCAAGATTGGATCAATCTTGTTAGCAGCTCCAATTGATTGATTAATTGATACTATACAAAACCATTCACTTCAAAATTGTGGTTATTGTCCATTTAATACATCTACCAAATGTCTTTTTACATGGACAAACTAAATTCAGACCGAGATTTCTGGGGGGGAAAAAGTGCACAGAACAACATCATGGCACATCACCTGCACAAAAGCTGGCCTTTACCCCGTTGGCTACACTTTAACTTAAATGTGTCCTTAAAATGAGAGGTTGTTTGAGGGAAGCCTACCTCAACCGTAACGAGGCATTCCTGTGTTAAAGAGCTGGCTTCCCATCAGGATGCTCTGCTCAACTTAAAATATACAGTAGAGCAGGAAAGTTAGGAGAGGACTGAAGAGGGAGGGAGGAGGCAAGAGAGGGGGAGAAAGACTGATGGTTGCTTTGATCTTCGGAGGCCCGGTCTGGATTTCCAAAAAAAAAAAAAAAAAAAAAGCAGAAAGAAAAGAAGCCTTCAGAAAATGTGAGCATCTCGCCAGTTTAGTCTTTTTGACGCTAAAATTAAAACAACAACAAAAATGGTCGATTTGATCATTTTTTAAATTAATTTTGGTAGAACACTGCACATTTTTTTGTTTTTGTTTTTATGTTTCTCTGTGTCAACTTGTTTTTCGAGTAAGTGTGTTACGGGATGCGTATTCTCACTTCATAAATGTGTGGTAGAATGGGAAATGGGCATTTCGAGGCCAGTAAAAACCACCACATCAAATAAAACATTGCGGATCAAAAGAACCAACGCATGGACATTTTTTCCCCTCAATAAATTAAAAAGGGGGGTTGTCTGCCACGCTTGATCATGCCCCGAGTCCTGCCCCACTCTTGCGATTGGCTAGACGGACACACAAGGGGGGAAAGTTTGAATAAAATACAAGAGCATGGCACAAGTGTTGTCGTTCAAGCTTGCGCGCTTGGTACAGAGGCGCTTGAGTCAGTCCTAGACAGAGGAACAGAATTTTGAGCGCACACTTTGTAAGTTTCGACTACCTCCACAAATATTAGCGTCACACAGAGGGACCTTTTTAAGGTTAGTTCACATTCAATTTACAAATTTGGGAACGGACAACAAGTGTTGTGGGGTCTCTGAACGCGTGCGTAATTCCTGTTTGTTTTTTCCGCTCCATCAGGGGAAACTGTCAGTATCACTGAGGGGGACGCTGCGTTTGGTGGAAGGACGGCTAACTAGAATGACAGCGGTCAGAATGGTGTCGTCAGTGCTGCTGCTGGTGCTGATGCAGTCCGGTGCCCTTTGCGCACGGAGGTTCCGGGGTGGCCGCAACCCACAACCGCGACGCGCGGCGCCTCCTCCCACCTACCGGGCGGACCGGGGGGACACCACGGAGAGCTTCCCTCTGGATTTCACCGCGGTGGAGGAGAACATGGATAACTTCATGACTCAGGTGAAGAACCTGGCGCAGTCCCTCTACCCGTGCTCGGCGCAGAAGCTCGACTACGACATGAAGCTGAACTTTTTGGAGAATACATCAGTCACCTGCAACGACGGAAGCCCTGCCGGGTATGTACCACCACACGATTAACGTGCAGGCATCAGTGTTCCAAAGCCAGGCTCCTATTGGAGTGCCTCAGCCTCAAGGCAAGGTCAGCTGGTCAGTGTGCAGAAGCAGTTCCTTTTGCCTCAATAGGACCTGTGACCTCCATCCCCACGCATCTGGACAGAGGTCAAGAGGGCTTTTGAGCCTCAAGATATGTGGTTGGTGAATTTTAAGTGTTCTGATAGGATCGTATATTAAACAAGAACCCAAATGAGCTTTCACGAATAGAAAGACGAGAGAAAATGTGTTTTTATTTATGGGAATAAACAACAACAAAAAGTGCCCAACTGCACAGTGTGGCTCAGTTTGGAGACGATAGCTAGACAGCTGCTTTGTGTCAGCGAAGCGTGAAATTTGTGGAGAGCCACATGGCCCATGCTTCATTTCCTTTGCTTCAAATTAGAATGCAGGATTTGCTCCGCAGAAAGTTTAGATCTAAGTTTCAGACCCCCGCCCATCCCCTATGTCTTAGGACCCATACTTTTTGACGACAACGCACATTCTCTTAGGGTGCGACGTTTCAGCAGTTTACACAATTTTGAGTTTAAGTCACATTAAAATGCTGTGCACTGCTCTAATAATGATTTCCATGACTTTTGTTCCAAATGAACCAAACTAATGGCATTATTTTACCACAAATGCACATTTCTCATCTAAAGATGTAAAGAAGCTCAGTGCATCTCTCTGCATACACGAACAATGCTCTGCAGACTCTGCTTTTGATGTGACTGAATTTGGCAGTGAAATTGTGGGTTAAGCTGATTCATGTGAAAAGTAGCGGATGAGCTCTGAAACCTGCTAAAGGGGATTCCTCATATTCGTAAAGTAGTGTCTCCACAGTTGTGTTTTCACACACCTGTGTCTGCGCAAATACCTCGGAAATGTTTTTTCCCAGTGTATTGACTGTCCGGTCCACAGTGAGGATGTTGAGCTAGTGCACTTTACACGGTGTTTGCGGTTTCCAGTGTAACACAGATTCCTTTCAAATGGGGCTTGATATACATGTCCCTTTATGGATTTAGAATCCTGTCTAATTCCTGCTAAACCCCCAAAGTGCCGTGTAGAGAGAGCTGTCTGCCGGCGCGGTAAAGCTCTTAGCTCTTTAGGGACGCAGCATGAGGACAAGCGAGGGGAGCAGTTAGTGGCAGATGGCCTTTTCATGCACGGTGGCAGTCATCGTTTAGGATGCTAATCCATCCGGCCGAGTTTTCCACCGAGGTATTGCTGGGGTTACGCACGCAGACGCGTTACGGTAGACGCGGGCTGAAGTTTATGGGAGCCGCGGCAGTAAAGCGGCGTGAGTCATCTCCTGGAGCTGCACTTGTTAGGAGGGAGTGGGTTGACGCAGCACCTTTCAATCTTGGCCTGTTTGTCCTGCCAAGAATGTCTCCACTTTGTTGTTTGGAAATATAATGCAGGGCCCTCGGCCTGCATCACCGACTGTGGCTCAGAGTAAAAGTATAAAACATTAACCAGAGCCAAAGTGTGATTCACTGTCTGAGCAAGCACCTGAGAGATTCAGCCAAGTATGCTGTGTTTGAACTCACCGAAATACATTTGGCCACTCACCGAGTTCAGTCAACCCAACAGAACGAGGAAAGCTGAACTGATGCTCGAATAATAACTAATAAACATGCAACCCTGTGGGGCTCACTGGGGTAAAAGCACGGGGCCTCTCAGTGTGGAAGCCTTGTAACTGTCGCTAAAGCCGTCCACACAATAGAAGCGTTTCACTTGAATTTGGTCATAAAGTGCATTTAACGGCTCGAAAGATTCATGATATTGCCCTCTTCTGGATCGACAACATACAGCCAACTCTCATATACATTATGCAGCATGAATTGACTTCTCAATGTCCTCTGTTTGCAGCAGAAAATCCTTCGTCCTCCCTTTATCGTCCCCTATATTGCTTTTATCCTAACGCGTAAACAAAATACTGTGTAGATGTTTATTCCTTTGCCTTGATTTTATCCACGCCGGGCGTAAGGGTGAAGGAATGATGAGCTTAGTCGAGAGATGATGGTACCTTACGTTTTCTTGCTAAATAATCTAAAGGTATGCACTGTGGAAACAGGAATAGGGGGCAGGATGATGTTTATCTGCTGTTCGATCACTGGTTCAGTTTACAAGAAGAAGGAAACACACACAAGTTCATTGTTCTTCTCTGTGAATTTCTGTCACATTTCCGAGATTGCAATCAATGAAGTAACGGCACGTCTCTGTTTATATGAAGGCGGTGATGTCATGTGTTTACAGCACTGCTGCACACACAGTGAGGGTGTCACACTGTGGCGCTGTGGAATGAGGCTGTTTTGTATCGCAGCGATGTTGAGATTTAGTAATGCAGGTAGTGCAAACTAAACCGTCAGGGATTCAGTATCATGATGTCAGATTTTTTGTGATATTTGCAAGCCATTAAAACACGCTTCCAAAGCTTGCTGCTCCAAATTAATCAGCATCCATTTCTTTTCTCTTCTTGCAGGTACTACCTGAAAGAGTCCCGGGGCAGCAGGCGGTGGCTGATATTCCTTGAGGGTTCGTACTCTGTACTTACTGACTGTTCTTTATCTTATTCCATGTAGGAATGATCGATAACGGGGGGGAATGATCATTTTGACGTTTTGTGCATCTGTGCACAGGTGGCTGGTACTGCTTCAACAAGGAGAACTGTGACAGTCGATATGAGACCATGAGGAGGTTGATGAGCTCATCCAAGTGGCCCCAAACAAGAACAGGTCAGTCCCGTCACGGCACCGACTCCCAAACTGTGGGCGTCCTGGTGGAAAATCGGATGCGAGCTAAATGCTTTGGCATTTTAAAATGATTGGCTGTAGGTACACTTATTTAGAAAGTATTTAGGACAGACACCCGGTCATAATGTATCCTGCAGAACAGGGCTACCTGGCGCCCACTGTTATAGGAACAGAGATGCCTCCGTCTGTCATTGCCCTGTAATAACTATAATCCATCTGGTAATGATGATGAGTAAGAGGAGGATGTGTCTGGGGGAAGCCAGGACGGCTAATGATACATGCTGATCTGTCTCTGTAGGCACAGGGATCCTGTCTCCATTGCCTGAGGAAAACCCTCACTGGTGGAATGCAAACATGGTGTAAGTTGATTAATGTTTTTGTTCATTATGAGGCGCAATTTGAAATGAAAGATGTCAGTTTTAACTCGGGGTTGTCTGTGCAGGTTCATTCCATACTGCTCCAGCGATGTATGGAGTGGTGCTACAGCCAAGACAGAGCAGAGTAAGAGACTACTAAACCTTTTATGTCGGGACAATTTTCCCATTAAAAGGGTTTTATCTAACCATTTGGCTTCCTCTTTGTGTTATGTTCAGGCGGCTATGCCTTCATGGGATCGCTGATAATTCAGGAGGTTGTGAAGGATCTGTTGGGGAAAGGGCTGGAAAATGCAAAGGTTCTGCTCCTAGCAGGAAGCAGGTAAGTCAAAGTAACTGGGCTGTGAAGACGAGGTTTTAGGGCACATTTGTGTCATTGTGTGTGCTTATGAGACTGAGATGTGGTTCTGTGCACAGTGCGGGTGGTACAGGGGTCCTTCTGAATGTGGATCGGGTGGCCGAGCTGCTGGAGGGACTGGGGCACACCGGGATCCAAGTACGGGGCCTCTCAGATTCAGGCTGGTTTCTGGACAACAAGCAGTACCACTGCACAGACTGTGTTGACTCTGTCAGTTGTACCCCCACCGAGACCATCAAGAGAGGAATCAAGTATGGGACCATGTTTGAATAGTATCATTGTTGGTGTTGATATATTGCAACAGAACAAATTCACCCATTTACTTGCAACAAAAAAAACAAACAATTTATCTATGTTTGTCAGGTACTGGGGAAGCTTGGTTCCAGAGAAGTGTAGACAATCCCATGAAGGAGAGGAATGGAACTGCTTTTTTGGATATAGAGTCTTCCCATCAATTAAAAGTGAGTTTGGGATCTTCCTTGGGTGAGACATTTCTAGTCCAAATTAAGCACATCTCTCAGACACCTTCCCCTTGCTCCGCGTGCAGGCCCTGTTTTTGTGGTCCAGTGGCTGTTTGATGAAGCCCAGTTGACAGTGGACAACATCCAGCTGACCGGCCAGCCTGTGCAGGAGGGCCAGTGGCGCTACATCCAGAATCTGGGCACCGAGCTGAGGAACACACTTAAAGACGTCCCGTAAGGCTGGCTCTCTATATTTTGAGGTGAAAAAACCCCCCAACATATTTATTCAAGGATCCAATCTGACTTTATTTGTCTCTTCTCAGGGCTATGTTTGCTCCCGCGTGCCTATCACACGAAGTCATCACCAGAAAGTAGGTACCAGCGTGTTTTCAGCGTTTCCTTCTCCCCGTTTCTGCAAACGTCAGGTTCAGAACGTGCAACATGTGAGCTGACAGCGCCCTCTTGTGTTGTGTCTTAGCTACTGGACAGACATTCAGGTGAAAGGAACCTCTTTGCCCCGAGCGCTGCACTGCTGGGACCGCAGCCTCCACGACGGCAGGAACAACAAGGCTCCGCCCAAAGCCTGTCCGGTGCACCTGATCGACAGCTGCCCGTGGCCCCACTGCAACCCCACCTGCCCCACCATCCGGGACCAGTTCACGGGACAAGAGATGAGCGTCATTCAGTTTCTCATGCACATGGGCTTCGATGTGCAGAAGGTGGCCCAGCAGCAGGGCATGGACCCCAGCAAGCTACTGGGCATGCTCAGTAGCGGCAGCTAAAGGGCCATCCGCACAAACCAATACACACTAAGCTAAAAATCAAGCAGAGCTGGTTGACCTCCCTGGCCAGTTTACCTTGACTGATACCTCCAACCACTCACCCATTTTTTCACCTCCCACTTTATCTGTAATAGACCCTCCTCTCACCATTAGTTTACTTTTGTCCAAACCTCATTCTGCCAAGGTGCTTCACTTATATTCCACCATCTCTTTGCTGGAGATGAGTCCAGACTCAACATGTTGGTGTCTCAAGGCACAAATCTGTGCTGCTTCATTCTCAAAAGAGCTTCATTTTTTTGTAAGATATAAAAACATATCAGTTTTAAGGATTATAACTGATGTTTGCCACTGTTATTTTCATACTTCAGTATAGACAACATTTAGTTAATGCAAATATCCTACACTGAGTAACGTACACACAGAGAAATATCAGAGGAGAAAAGCACTGGATGGAGATGGAACGTTCATTTAGCTCTGAAGCTAAAAAAATCTGAACAAATCATGAACAATTGCAATAACTACCTTTCTAACTGTTGAAAGAAGAAAAAAAAAACTAAATTATGGGCAGATAATGTCTACACTTCATTCTATTGGGGTTATTTTAAGGACAGCCACAATAAGAAGATGGCATACTTTAATTTCGGTGGTGCTGAAGATGTCATACAAATATTTTGACATCCTTAAATGGTGCTAAAATGGACTTGGTAGCCCCTCACCAACAGCTATAGAAACATCACAGTGCCATTACATCTAGACTGCAGGTTACATCATTATTAGAGGACTGTTAAACCTCACATGTCTTGTTAGCTCACTTCTGTGGCTCAGCGGTCCTCAGATTCAATGCAATGAGCATGTAAAGGGAGACAAATATTGTGTATTGTATATTTTTTGAGTATTTGTATAGGTTATTTCAAGTGTTCACTTTTGTAACTCCCTTCTTATATTTCCTTATAGAGATCACGTTTTAATATAATGACAATGTTGTATGTAATGATGTCTTTATTAATTATGTTTTTAAAGGACCTCTATTCCGCAAACACACCAGAAAAGGAGAAGTATTACTAATTGTAATTTTATTCTGTAACATATTTTTAACAGAAGAAAAACTCAAGCTACATTGGCAATTTACATATTTATTTTGTTATGTAAATCATATTTATAAGTGCTATTTTCACAGAGAAGTGATTCTTTGTAAATTGTAAATATATTGCTGTTTATCTCTTTGTGTTAATTGCATGTCTTTATACCAGACTGAGAAGAAAAGACACATTACATAAACTATAAGATCAATATTTTTGCACAGTCCTGGTTTTTATTCATCATGATCCGTTTTATAACACTAGGAATAGTGGCTGTGGGCTAGAATATGTTTATTCTATTATCATTTAATCTCCCTATGGGCTTTTGTGAAACATGCCTTACACAAGACACGTTACAAAACAGAACAGAGAAGAAAAAGGGAAACAGAATTTTGGCTACACAACACAGAGGAACAAACGGGTGCAACGCTAAAGTGAAGTGCAGGTGGTTTGATTCCAATGGGGTGCGTTGTCTGCTATGAGAGTAAAAAACTGTCCAGGGAGGAATTTCCTGTGTGTAAATAGGAAAGTCAAAGAAAAATAGGAAGCTAAAAAAAGAAGCAGAGAACGTACATGCCTTTCAGGGGGCTTACATTTCAACAAATGCAATCTATGAAATTAAGTTCTACCCCATCTGTTGTTTGGGAACTTATTATATTGGTAAAGCAAATGCACTTGATTTGGATTTAAAGTAAACATTTTGTTTAAACTAGCTTTCGAACAAATGTGCACCGAGTTGAACTAACAATGACTTTAAAAAACGGGCTTTAAGTGGTATAAAACAGCCCTTTAGAGGTGCGCTGACTATTTTCCTGCTGTGCTTTGGTTTGTAGGTTACCTAGACTCCACACATTACAATTAGCTTTTGGTAAACACATTCATCCAACTCTGACAGAAAGCTACCATGAAAACTAAAAATCCTCTGTAATGTGGTGTTCTGTATCTTGAGGGCACTTCACACTGTTGGCAGAGCGAGGACATTAAATTACTCATCCGCTCAAATTTTTTTGCCTCAAATCTAAGCATGCAGCAGTCTCTGGCATCAGATGTTATTTGGATTAAATATCATCCTAAAAGATGTTTGTGTTATTCTTTTTCAATTATCTCTTTTCCTGCAGGGAATTCTCCTGACATGACTACCTCTTTTGTGAGAGAAAACCTTTTTTCTCATTAAACCAACTTAAACTGTAAAGTCTGAAAAGTCATCCAGGTCCATGAAAATTCAGGTAGTGAGGGCAGACATGGCCTTTTTAATATTGGCAATAAATTTTATTTATGTGTCTGAAAAGCTCTCGTGTTGTCTCATAAGGTGAAGCTGTGTTAAACATCAAACAAAATCGAATTTCATTACAAATGACAGCAAAAATATTATAGATAGGGGGAAAGATAAGAATATACAATATGTGGGTGATGTTATCAACAAATGGGTTTGAAATGAAAAATATTAAAAAGATAAGCTCAGAATAACAAGAGACAAAGCGGAAGCTTTGTATAATAAAACAGGAACCAAGCCAACTTAAATGTGAAAGAATCAATGACAAGAGGTGTAGGAAAATTAATGCGTAGAGAATTAAACGACCACATGAAACATAAAACAAAACCATAAACCAAAGGTCTTAAAAAGTGCCAAAAATCTAACCGAATCTTCAACTGTTTATTCAGTATTTAACATATAATTTTCCAAACAAGATGCTCGTTTCAACGACACTACAAATCAACGGATTTATCAAAACTCAGCGGGTCAATATGTTTTACATATTGAGCAAATGTACAAGTTTTTTGCAACCAGATCAATGCACATGCAGGACATGAGTATCAAATATACAACCACTTCATTTTAACAAAACCGAGTATAATAATGTCTGCTAAAACACCAAAAAGAATCAATTTGCATTTGATTAAAAATGCCACAGAAAGTATTTTTCAAAATCGCACAGCATTTTTTTGCTAAGTTGTTTTGGGGTGTGGCCTTATACTATAAGCAAAAATCACAGCATCCTAATATCTCAGGTTTATGTATTTTAAGCAACTGCAAAGCCATTTACATCCTCCCTCTCACACGTGTTGACCAAATCTGCTATAGCTTGTGTATAATCATCCCTCTCAACCTGTATGTAATTTATGCGTCTAATGGGAGTCTTAACTTCCCTCTCTGTCATTACACTGTGTGTAAATGCCAGTTTCGTACTGAGGGAACTCTGACTCAGCCTCTCTGGGTGCTCCCTGGAAATACGACTCCCATCCTGCCAGCCACATGTAGCCTCCCACCCCTCTGTGGAATATAGACCCCCTATTTATAGAGCTGGCAAGTGCTGTAACCCAAAAGGCTCGTCACAAACTTTCATTTAAACAGCCACCCATAGCAGTCCACTGAGAGCACAGTGACCCATACAGCAGGGACAGGATGGGTTTTTTCAACAAAAAAGAAGTGGAAAACAAAATCTGAGCAACAGAGAGAGACAGAAGCAGCGAGACGAAGAGCAACAGTGAATTTGATGGGCAGTTAAGGCCCTACGGCAAGAAAATTTCAAGGAACGGGCCAGCGAACAGTGAGACTTGACTGACGGGACAATATACGTGGTCACCTGTTGTTGCTTGGAGCTATTGTTAGAAGGCTAATGTCTGGATACAACGCATGAAGAGAGTGTTCTGGAAAAGACTTAAACTTGGAACTCGATGGTCACTGGTCAACAACAGGTGAAGGGGGGTCAGCACGGAAAAATCTACTTTTACAAGAATAAAACACCTTTTCTTGAGAAAGGAAGGGATCATAAAGTAATTTTTAAAAAAATGTGTGTTGGATATAAAGTTTAAATATGCATGTTTGTTAAAAGAAAAAAGTCAGTCCTGACTTTTTTAGGTTAAATCATATATCTGTTTCTTTACAAAGCTTCTGTTTAAACTTTTACAAAGCTGTGTATAAATGTAATCTGATCTTAAGCAAAGTGCTCTAATTACAAAGCACCGTCAGGAAAAAGGACTTACAGACATTTGTAATTAAGGACCATCTAAAAAAGGAACCCAAGGAAAGGGTGAGGTCCAATTGGAGGAGAGGAGTAGGCCGCCAACACACCAAAAGAGTGAGCAAGAGTTTCACAAAGAAAAGCTTCTGTTTCTGAAGGACATCGGCACATCATGGATGCTCATGGGGGACACTATCTCAACAAAGATGCAGTGCTTTCACCTTTGGGCGCAGCGCGAATGGGCCAGCTACTACTTGGCTGCACCATAATGGCCCTGGTGTCCCACAGTGCCGGCTACAGTGCCAGTTATGGAACCTTCTGCATGTTTGTGTGGTGCTTCTGCTTCGCCGTGACACTGGTCGTCTTCACCCTGGACATCACGCGGCTGCACTCCTGCATGCCGATATCCTGGGATAACTTCACCGTAGCGTTTGCCATGCTGGCGACACTGATGTATATCACTGCCTCTGTGGTCTACCCTGTTTACTTCCTCAAAACAGAGTGGACCGATGAGGACTATGAAGTCCAAATCTACCGCATTGTTGTCACCATCTGCTCCAGCATCTGCTGTTTTCCATATGGAACTGAGGTCTTCTTAACAAGAGCCAAACCAGGTGCAGTTGTGGGCTACATGGCGACCGTGTCTGGTCTGCTCAAAGTGGTCCAGGCCTTTGTGGCCTGCATTATTTTCGGGGCTCTAGCTAATGACAGTGAGTACACCCAGCACATTGCAACGCAGTACTGTGTGGTGGTGTACAGCCTGTGTTTCTCTGTCACCGTGATAGTGGTTATTCTGACGGTGTCCGGTAGAACGTCCGCCTTAAGGTTTCCGTTTGACCGGTTTGTGGTCGTCTACACCTTCTTTGCCGTGATCCTCTACCTCAGTTCCACACTGATCTGGCCCATCTTCAGCTTTGATAAGAAGTATGGCAACACCACTCGTCCTGAAGACTGTCCACGTGGAGAATGTCCCTGGGATAGTAAGCTGGTGGTGGCTGTCTTCACCAGTGTCAATCTTATATTGTATTTTATAGATCTTGTTTACTCTCAGAAGATTCGCTTTGTCTCCCGCTCTGCTGTGTAAAAACAAACAAACTCTGCTGGCCTAAAAGACAATGACAGCATAAATGAAGGCAGAGCTGCTTTTGAATCTTCAAGGGGTGACGCCGTTTCAGTATTGGTGTTATACAGAGCATCAGTGATAAGTAGATTCTACGTGATAAACTTTCTCCAGTGCTGCAGGGGCCTGTAGAAGGGAGCCCCCCAGGTCCCAGTGTCATCGAGTTGCTGTGGGGTCTCTTTCTCAGGAACACATCCCTAAACTGTAGAAGTGGTCAAGTACATGAAGGAAGAGTGTGTGATTTATCCTACAGAATTAGATTATCAGAACAGTATTATGTCAGATGTTTTTGTTTGGGAAAATGAGCAATGTATTCAAATTCGTCCAAAAAAAGCACAAAAATACATCTCATGGAGATGTATATATTATCTTATGTCTACAGTTTGCACTGAATGTAGATTTTGTTTTGACCTTTAAAAGTGACCTTTTGACCTTTTTGTTCAAATTGGTATGGAATCCTAGATCAACGTTCAATTTGTAGATATTTTGTGATACTGAATGATAAATGTATCTGAAGCATTAATTTCTAAAGGGAAAAATATTGTCTTTTGTTTTCGTTTACATTATATGATGAGAATAATCTGAGTACATTTTTTGTGCGCTGTCTTATCCATAATATGTTCAATAAATTTGAAAAAAAGACATCCCATATTTATTTTGGGCTTTGTATGAATTTTCCTTAGTATTATTTAGCTGCGAGAACATTTGTTGAGTACTATCACTTTACTGTGTCCAAGTTAAATTAGCCAGAAGTGTATCATATACATCCCCCAGGTCCTGGGGCCCAGGATTATTTATTTTAACAGGAACGGTTTGAATTATAGCTTTCCAGTTTAATGACAGTAAGGATTGATTTTTTTTTCATAATAGTTTGTATACACCTATCTACATTTGTGTCTAGTCGATAAATATGTCAATAAAATAGTAATACTTTTAACCAATTCCAACGAAACTCTTGCTGATTATTTTCTGTATCTAGGTCACATTCGGGTACCCCGAGGCAAAAACTGATGTTACGTGTGTTTCGGTGTTTGGAGAACCCGCCTATCAACGTTACTACTGCTGCGATTGGTCAGACCCATTGCGTAGCTGCTAAAACTGTAAGCTTATTGGCTTACTCCTCTATCAATCACAATTCCTTCCACAGGTAGCCTACGCAGACAACAGGAAGCTGCGAAACGTTAGCAGCCTATTTTTTGTACATGGATTTCTTTCTGTTTTCATTCGTCAGTTGTTCAACTTAGAGATTTTCCTTTATTTTTTTAGAGTGGTTTCCTTTTTGTTATCATCTCCTGAGACGTAGTTACCTTGTCGAACAGGGAAGTTTGCTTACCATTGAGACAGGCGGCTCGTCAGTAACAGGTCGTCCGTCTCGGTCGAGAAGAAATATCTAACTATATGCAATAGATTGTGTTTTTTAACATTGTGCATTCGCAGGCAGAATGAGTGTGGGCTTCATCGGTGCGGGCCAGTTAGCTCACGCTCTGGTAAGAGGCTTCTCGGCTGCAGGTGAAGTACTTTTCCTAGTGCACCTTAATAGGATTCAACTTTCACGGGTTACGCTTGTCTATTGCAGTCATGTATTAAAATTGTTTCTGGATATTTGCTGTCTTCAAGGCGTGATTGCCACTAACAGAATCACAGCCAGTTCTCCAGACACAGATCTCCCCACCGTGATGCAGCTGCGGGTGGGTACAAGGTTAAAGGAAAGCTGCAATACATCAGTTATTATCTGAGTACAACTCTGATGTGAGGGTACGGAATTTCAGTTTCCATTTGTATACTTTCAGATATGTTCAAATGTAGTTTTCTCATAGAAACTGGGTGTGAACCTCACCACCAGCAACAAGGAGACAGTGAGCAGAAGTGATGTCCTCTTCCTGGCTGTGAAGCCCCACATCATTCCTTTTGTACTGGATGAGATTGGACCTGATATAGAGGACCGTCACCTGATTGTGTCCTGTGCTGCAGGGGTCACCATCAGCTCTATCGAGAAGGTCCGCCACAGCCACAGAAACTAATACTGACTGCTCTACCGCAAACTTTACTTAATTAAAGCTATGTTGATAGAAAAATGTTACTCATTTTTAAACATTCAGACTTGATTTGAAATAATGAAGACCGAGTAAGTTACATTTTTGTGATGGAATTTTTAAGAAAAGGCTTGTATTTGAGGAATATCGGGATGAATCATCATTAGAATATCCTTCAAACATGGAGGTTTTGTGGTTACCCTCTCCAGAAGCTGCAGCAGTACCGCTCCTCTCCAAAGGTGATGCGCTGCATGACCAACACTCCTGTTGTGGTGCGCGAAGGTGCAACCGTCTATGCCACAGGCACGCACGCCGATGTGGAGGACGGGAAGCTCCTGGAGCAGCTGATGGCCAGTGTCGGCTACTGTACTGAAGTGGAAGAGGACCTGATTGATGCTGTCACTGGGCTGAGTGGCAGTGGCCCTGCCTACGTGAGTTGAATGTGATTTACAGGATCACTTTCAGCCATGCCCCCCAGACCTCCCGCAATTGCGAAAAATGTGTCCTCTGGATTGTTGCCCCCTTTCCATCACCGTAATTGTGATGATTGTTGCCCTGCAGGCATTCACAGCCGTCGATGCTCTCGCTGATGGTGGTGTGAAAATGGGCCTGCCCAGGAGACTGGCTGTACACCTCGGAGCTCAAGCCCTACTGGTATGACCACCATTTGTGGAGAAAAAAAAAATTGGGTTGTTTATTTTCTGGCTTTGAACTGTTCTGCTTCATTGCTAGTTTTATTTTTCTCTAAAAATCTGTTCTGTATCTCAAGATTGAGCTGTTTTAACATTCTTCTGTTGAAAATCTGTACACACAGTTGCATTTTTATTTCAGTATTTATTAATTCAACTCCTCCTGACTGAGTACAGACACAGATTCAGAGCGGACTACACTTGGCATAATCATTACATCTTTTTCCTCTTGGAAGGGAGCTGCTCGAATGCTGTTGGACTCAGAGCAGCACCCCGGGCAGCTTAAGGACAACGTTTGTTCACCAGGGGGCGCCACTATACACGCTCTTCATGTCATGGAGAGTGGGGGCTTCCGCAGCCTCCTCATTAATGCTGTGGAGGCCTCATGTGTAAGAACTAGGTAGGTTAAATGGAGTGTGAAACAAACGATCATGTATCTCTTTTCACCGGGACACAACAGAATCACAATAATAACTACTTTCAATACGTTTTTCCTACTGAATGACTGGACAAGAAGTTCAAATTTCAAAATTCTACATGTTATTTATTTAAAACTATGCGCTAACAGTGAATAGTAAAATAATATTTTGAAGAGTCGAGACCTGTTGAGACCTGTAATAACTGTCTTCAGACCTGTTTAAAAGTTGAATGCTGTTACTAGCTGAAAGTATGAGCTTCAAAGAGGTTTAAAAAGTTTTGAGAAAGTTTACAAGATATATAAGTAAAAATGCATAGCATAAATGTCTTGATCAGGTTGAATGTTTTCAAATATAACTTGTGGGGTGATTTAAATGTCTAAAATAAATAAAGTAGGGACACTATATTAAGAATGCTGTACAGTATTCTCGCAATGATGGTCAATAAGTGATATACCATTGAGTATACAAGTGAGACAGCAGATGGAGCTGTATGCAAAACATTTTGGGAGAAGACCTATATCCTTATTTGGTTAACACTTACTTAGTTATGAAATTGTTGATTAAAAAAAAGAACCATTTGTGTTTTGATTGATACATATGCCATGCCTTTTGTTGTAAATGTCTCTTGATAGGGAACTTCAATTTTTGGCTGACCAAGAGAAGATATCCTCAGCTGCCATTAAGAAGACCACTCTGGACAAAGTGCTCCAGCAGCCGGGAGTCAATGCAGACACTGTGGGAGTCAGATCTCTTGGGCTCAGTATCTTTAACAGCAGAAACCCAAAGGTTAAGAAGGACTGACCTTCAAACTGAAATGTGACTGCTTGCATCTCAGGGAGAGCAGTATATGCCATTAGACCACTAATAAAGGGCACTGTTGTGAAAAAATCACACGGGATAACTATGTATTGTATTTTGGACAAGAAGTGACGATAAGAAAAATTCTATGAACAGTCAATTCTCATTGTAATGATATCCCATTAGTGTCAACCGCTTATTTTAATAGGGAAGTTTATACTTGGCATGATGAGCAATTGCCTTAATGAGGGAAATAATCAATAGATTGGGTGTGGCTCTTGTTTTTTTCAATGAACCATGAAATAAAATGGTTATTGTATTAGGTAAACATAAAAAAAGTTAAAGTTCCTTTAGGAGTTTTCTAACATGAACACACTTGCTGTATTTCTTGACAACCTATGGATCTGTGAGTGACCTGCCGCAGTACAGTCGTGTGTCAAAGTTACAAATTGGATTAAAAGCAATAGAATTATTGTTTACAGGAAATAATATTGTGTGTCTTTTTTATGCTACTTAAGAATAATAAATCAAAAGTCATGTTTCCATCCTGTAGTGATATGTCAGATAGATATGTTAAAGGAATGGATTGTCAACGTATAATTAAAAAAAAAGATCTTTCAGTTGTTTTAATTGCTTGAAACCAATATACAAACAGCTTTGTGACACAAATCTTTGCAATAATGACCTGAGGAAGATGTCAAGAAGCTTTACATATACTTGTTAAATGTTTTGGTAAAGGCCCTATACACTGGTAACTTAGGGTTACTTTATGAATATTTTCTAAGTTATTGCATTTTAATGTTTTACTTATTTTAACAATCTAACTAATATTTTGTAAAAATGATGATGTTGTAAAGGCAACTGGGGTGACTCATTGGTTAACCCATATAAGTAAAACTGAAAATATTAAAATAAAGATAACCTAAGACCCATAATATAAAACTCACACTTTATCGTTGTATGATGTTAACAAATCGTATGATATTTATTGTATATTTAGATATTAGTAATTTTAAAGTGACAAGATTCCCATTAGATAACTTTGTTGTGATCCAAATGATTTAGATAACTAATTCATTTATAATGATCTTACAAACGAAATTACTTCCGTTCAGTACATACAAACAGTGGCGTTGTTAGGATATTTAACGAAACAAGTGAAAAATAATTCCAGAATAGTTTATGATCTTTGTTTCCTCTGGAAATATTTGTTTTTCTTACCGGGATAGGTGATCTTTCATGAATGAAGGCACGTGACCAAACACGATGACGTCTGGCTTCGATACAAGAAAGGAATCAACAAGGAGAGCGCAAGCTGCTATCTGGAAATCGCTTTTGTCAGTCAAATCGAAATTCAAATGTTCCTCTAATGTTTGGCCATCTGCTGTCGGGGTTAGGAAGAGGAGTTCCGCAGCTTTAACTTCACTGATTTTTGAAAACCAGGTGGGTCTGGAAAGCAAACACAGTCGGTGTTGTTATGCTGAGTGTGCATGCCTTCGCCCCGTCGCTGATAAGCGGTTAGCTTCGCAGGTTAGCATGGCTAGCTTGTCAATTTAGCTTGATTAATGCAAAAAATGGATTTCAAACTGATGTCTCCGCTTTGCACCGGCCGTGAACGGACAGCATTCGCACAACTAAGGGGTTTGTGGTGAAAGTTTCAGCCTGAAACGGTCGATTGGGTTTCAGAGCTGGCAGCACCGGGCTCCTACTACGATGAGCTGGCAGCTAATCTATTGTACGCTCGTGTGCCGTGAATAAAACATTCCGATTTCGGTTTGCATGCAGCGGGACTTGCCGGCTGTTTCGCGCGTCGCGGGTAATTTCCCCGTGTCGGGAATGATTTGAACCCGTGTTGCCACCGTTGTAGTAGGCTGGCTGAGCACGGGGATTTCCTCATTTGCTTGTTTGTAGGCGGAGAGTTTGTCACTTTCACAAGCAAGCGCCGAGAGGCTAGAGGTGGGGGGTGGTGGAGGGGGGGGCAGGGGGTGTCGCGGAATGTCAAAAGCGGGGAACCTGTGCGGGTTGCTTCTGCCGTAATTAAGTTTGCCTGGACGTTTGGTGTGCTGTCCACCGTGTCGCGGCGCTTCTGGTTGGTTTTTTCAACTCGTGCGCTCCTCGCTGGTCAAACCTGCTGCTTCATCACCTCGCTGTGCAAAGGAGCAAGCGCGAGCCGAGCCAGCGGTTTAGCGAGACCAGGTTGGTTGCAATATTTTTTTTCTCGTGACATACCAAAGAAAAAACCCAACGTGTTTTGCTCGTTCCCGACACAATAGTGATATTTCGCGCAGCTTTTTTTTAATGAATGCATGCCCGGTTCGAATGTCTCAGGAAACCGCGTTCGAACCATCGCTTCGCGTTGAAATTGCTTCACCTGAAGTGACAATTCATTTAAGCGCGAGTTAAATTGTAACAATGGCTGCACCAAATCAAACCCGGCGTCCTTGGGTTTATTACAACGGCCAAACAGTTTTACAGCAGCGTCGTTAAACGTCCAAAGCCAAACAAGCAAGTAACGGGGATTTTTTTTTTTTTTAATCATGCTGAATCATCACAATGGTGTATTTAATCGTTCTCAGAATCCACCCCGTAATATGGCACCACCGGACAAAGGTCTGCTCGCTGGATAAGGGTCGATGTTTATCATTAAGCCGCCGTTAATGGGGAGATGGCTCGAAATGATGCTCATTTTTGTGTGCCCGTCAGCCCCTAAGCCACGAGCATCAAGTGATGACCATCATGCATTTATCAGTGCCTTATCATCATTCAGCTGAGAATGGAGGTTCTATTAGCCGCGCCGTGCTCCCACAAACAGGGTGCGAGTGCGTTTACTGAGCGCTTAGGTGTCAACTGCGACGTCAAAGCCCTTTTAGAAATTGCACGATAAGCAGATGTGATGCATGTGTTGTGATAAAATGCCTCTGCGAGGTTTCGATTTTTTAAATTGGGTCATGTGTAATTATGTGCACCTGATGTCGGCGGCATCTGAAGTGCGCGTTTGGTGAAATGTGCCACGCTTTTGAGTGCATTTTTCCTTGCATGTTTTTCCCCCGGACAGTCTGCTGAATGCAGCCTCGACAGCCCGCTTCATTGTGACATAATTTAATCCAGTGTAATTCCTAATTTGTGTTATTTTGGGTTTGACAGATGCTCCTGTTTCCCTGTGTGTGACATGATGAAATTTGCTGCCTATTAGGGTACACACTTATAGAGGGCGCAGGTAATGAATTATCCATGGAGTCTCTGTGCAATTTGAAAAGTCACCTTGGAAACTGTTGAGCACATATAGGCACGGCTAAACAGACCGAAGTTGCCCATTCTTGCTCCGATATTCAACTTATTTCATCATCTCTGTTCATGCGAGCTGAGGCATTGAAGTGTGTTTAGCAGACAGGGCAGCCCTACATCAGAGGTTCGGCTTTGCAATAAAGCATAATAGCCATCTCTGCCTTTCTCGGCAGGTAACGAGGAAAGATGATGGTCCGTATGATTGCCTGATGATGCTGGCACTGACGTGTAGATGGGAGCAGGGAATGCTGGGGATCAGCCCTAAGACTGATCCCCTCTTTCATTGAGGCAGCAGAGATAAAAGAAGGCTGGATGCCGTAGAGGTGAACGGAATGCACACCTCATATCCAGTGGCATTTCTCATGGGCAGCTGTGGAGGTTGGAAGAGGATACGTGGGGTTGATGAAACATGAGGCAAGACTTCACACCGCACGGGCTACAGTCTGGCCGCTAACTCCTTTGTATGGCCAATACAGATGTGCCTTGGGAATAGTTACGCCTATTCAGGACAATTAATAGCCTGCAGAAAAGAACACAGATGTGGGATTTGTCCACAAAAGTGTTTCTTTAGTTGCACAGGGAATAGCAACACCTGGAAGGGAGGAAGAAAAAAGATCAATACATTTTTTCCTCGTCTTTTTGCAATAGTTGGGAGAATGCTGGTGATGAAACCACTTGCAAGTGTTGTGCGGATTAGGATTGCTTAGCATTGCGATATGTCCGCTCCACTTCTCAAAGTAATACTTTCATCCACACTGAGTCGCAAGTGTGTTTGATGAATTTCTTGGAACTGGAGTTAGATGCTGCATGTTCATTAGGGCTCTCTGTTTATTCATAATTCAGGTTAGTCAATATAAGAACTGAGTTAGTAAGTATGGATTTTTAGTGGCTGCTCTTTTTCATGTAACCTACTTTTATGTGAGCCTAATGTCTGTGTGGGACACATCGGTGTTAAACTCTGATGTCAGGCGAAAGCTATTTAAGCATCTGCATTCTTATGTAAGAAACTGAATCAACTTAAAACTGAATCACTCAGGATTTGTCTCCTTACATTTTTAGCAATTTTGGGCTGCACAGTTAAGTTGAAAAAGTTCTCTCCTGGTTATGTATCATACTTCCTAAGAAGGTTAAAGACATAACAGTCCATAACACACATTGTGATGGAGCTTAATCTGAAATGCAGTGACTTAAGATGGTGCTGATTGACTTCACGGATATTTTCGTTAATGATCTTTGAAGCCATTTTTAGTTATCTTTGAATAATGAAACGTGTGCGATATCTGGAATGTGCATACCACCCATCACAACCATTTAAACAAGAATTTAGGAAAAATCAAAACGACATGTGTTCTTTAGTTTATTTTGGCGTTGTTTTTTTGATTTTTGGGTAGAGCTTCTTGTTCAAGCTTAAGAGAATCCACCTTGAGCAGGGGTATTAAATAAATTGATTCTATAATTCCAAATTTATTTAAATGTGTAGAGCTGTTTAGCATGTGTGCACAAAGGCTGCACTGTTGCAGGTCAATGGAATATGCATTTAAAATGAAAGCTTGCACTGTAGTAAAACTCTTAGGTATTTTGCCAGCGTGTGGGTTGCCTGCAACCCTTACTTCCTCTGCCAGAGCAAGGTTGGAGTATCAAAAGCTATTCTCTTCCTGTTTAATCAAGTCCTCCAGGCAGATACTGTAGAAGGCCAGTGGAATCTGTTCTTCTGCTTGTACTAACAGAGAGTAGATAGCATAGAAATAGATTCTCCAAGTATTGAAACATCATTTAATGCAAACTAGTCCTTTTAAATCAGCCTCACATTATCAGAAAATACAAAATCCCTCCAGGGCGGTGATTCATGTTTGCACTCTGAAAGACATGAACTGGATGCAAAATCCAGGCATAAATGTGCCACATGATTTCCTGCATGGTGCGATTTTCCTCCTTTTTCTTTTTTTTTTTCTTTTTTTTTTCTTGGAAGCCACAGTAGAAATGTGCTGATTTTTTGTTTTGTTTATTTATCTGTCTTCAGGTTTCTTTGCCTTACTTTAACAAATATTATTTTTAGAAATTGACATTAATAAGTGAAAGTACATTCCTCCCACAGTCCAAACACATGCATGTTTGGTTAATTGAAGTCTCTACATGGTCCCTAGGAGTCCCCCCCCCTCCCCATGCCACTCTGCTAGAGATAAATGCTGTGGAATGAATTAAAGTAAAAATATATATACATGTGACCTATTGTCATACTTTTTGGACTAAGGGGACAAAGTAACCACATATTTAAGAAGATAAATATTCCCTAACTGTCTTTTCTGATCCTTTATATGTCAGTTGGAAAAGCTAGTGTGAATCTCGATGTCAGACGAATTGTGCCCATTTACCATTTTTCTGTCTGGATCGATTCAAATCTTTTATTATCATCATTATTTTTATTACATCTTCATTATCATTATTACAAAAGCATTTCTGATCTTGTGATTCTAAACTCTAAAGCTTAATGGATAACCAAAAACAAAATATTTGCTTCTGAATAAAATATGACTTTGAAATACAAATAAACCTTCTACAACTATAATAATATGATTTTAACTGAGAATTTAAATATATATATATATATGTATATGTGTGTGTGTATGTGTGTATATATATATATATATATATATATATATATATATATATATATATATATATATATATATATATACACACACACACACTTAAGTGTGTGTATAACTGTGAGATGATGTACAGACATTTACTAGCCACTGAATAACCCTTCATTGCAGGGGTCAGTTCTTTTTAAAGGCTGGCATAAAATCCTGGGTACTTTGCTACTTCAGTCGTGCAAAGAAACTGCCACTGGTCAAAAATACTGTCTTAGTATTTCCCTACTACAAGCGTATCACATTTCCCTCTGAAAGCTGCTGAATGATTTCTCCTCTTCCTCTTTTTGTCACTCTTATTTCACGCTCTGAATACTTAGTAGTTAATAGCTTCCCTCCCCTCTTCTCATTGTACCTCTCTTTTACACAGAGACACTCGCACGCTGTTTTCTCCATCCACAAGTTTACACCACTCATCTCATATCTCTTCCAGAGCCATCAGAGGAGTCTGATTTTTAATTTGCAGTTAAATGGCGCCCGACACATGCAGCTTGCTTGATAATTGACTTTGCTCAGCTGACAGGAGAAATGATTAGATCTGAGTATTGGGGTGATCTTTTCAAATGTGAAATGGAAGGGAGGGACTAAAAGTAAATCCTCTGATCAGGCAAAAATGGATGGGATGGCTTCTTTTGTTTTGTTTTGACAAACAGGCTGGAAGTGTCAGCTGATAGTTCAAGTGGACACGATGATGAGAAAAGCTGGCATTTATTCAATCTTAAATGCACTTTTCTAATGTGCTTTTAAGCAAAAATGTGGTTATTATGATTTAATTTCCACCTAAGAGTGCATAATGATTGAGTGAGATGCTACAAATCCAATGTATTATTAATAAAGCAGGCAGAACAAATGGTCGCAGCGGCTTAATATCTTTGCTCTTATTATTCCATCATGGATGCTGTCACAGGTGCTGGGTCTCTTGTTCTTCAGCTGGTGAGGGCAGAGTAAAGAAATGTAGCTGAGCTATCTGTGGAAAAGTCACCACATGGTGTGGCATGGATGGAGTGTTTTGGTTGTTGTTCAGTCGTTACTCCCTTGGAACCGAGTTGCTGCTGTTGGATGCTGCGTGTTTTCCTGAAAACAGCCTTTCATCTGCATGCACCTCTACTGTCTATTTGTATCCACTTCGTTAGACAGCTCCTCTTCAAGGATTGATCATGACCATTTGTGTTTGTATTTGCCTGAGCGGTTTTAGTAATCTGTCTCTTTGTGAATACCTGGTTGTGTGTGTATGTGTGTCTGTGTGTGTGTGGAAGATTAGAGAAGTAATGTGCAATGCACTGCCCTGTCTCAGCAAACCTTATATCCTGTTAGTCCTTCCAGCCATGTTTAGTATTCAGAAAGCAGGCGCTGTCGTAATCTGGATTCTGAAGGAGGTTTCTGGGGTTTTTGTTTGCTCTTATGGCCCTGATAATCTTGTTACACTGCTGTCAAGTGGAGCTGGCCCTCCCTGCAGCCCTGAACCACCATGTGTGCCATCTCCACTACCAGAAATCCTCCCCTCCCCACCCCCCACCAGCCTGCCGCCATTTTGCGACAGTTGTTGATGGAAGAGCCCTGGATGTATCCTTGAAGAATCACCTCCTGAGCATCTTTATTCAGCCTCCCACCCCCGCCCCATCTCCCACCCCCACCTTAGGCGGCAAACGACAGACATAAATATTCATCGTAGGGACACAGTGTGAGGAAGCTGTAGCCTCGGTTCCCCCCTCAACTAAGAGCCAACTAATGGAGTCCATCCTTGAAGATATCCTACGGAGGGGACAAGATCATTAAATCATGCCATGGGACGAGAATCACACCTCATGTCACATCAGCATTTATTACCGGGGATTGAATTCCCAGGTATTTATTAATCTTCACCACTGAAAATCAACCTGAGTGTCTCTGTAGATGTACATGAACAAAGACAGCTTTGATGGAAGTCCAGGTTGCTCTTGTTTTTTTTAGCTCAACTTGACAACTTCTTAATTGGCACCTTGGTTTTGGTCCTTGCTGAGATCAGTGTTTTTTTCTTTTTTTCTCCTCACTTCACCTGTTCTACTCAAGCTCCTCTAAATGTGTCGACCAGGCATTTTACACAAGGCTGTTTCCTCTCTCCTCCTCTTTTCATCTCACCCTCTCTTTCCCTCCCTCTCTCTTTCTCTGTCTCCTGCCATTACCTTTCTCTGGGTGACCACACTCAGCGTTTTCTATTTCCTGTGGGTGTGATGTCTCTCCTCCACAAGCAATCAGCTCTGATTTGTCAGCGTTCTTTCAGGCGATTCATAAAAATTCAGCAAGCATCTACAAAAGACGTCTGTGTCCTCGCACTTTGGCACTACCCTCAGTGCCCCTCTGCTCCAAGCTGCGGCTTTCACCTGCTGCTCCTTTGGCTAGACAATAATTAATGGGAGGTAATATACGCGAGGGTTTGTCTTTTTATGCGAGCTATCCCAGTCTAGGCCCCCTGTCACAGTCAGACCACTCACCGCAGCACCTCTGACATCAACCTGACATTGTTTATGGCCGATTTTAGGTGCCTTTTCCTTTCTTTGCCTCTGTGTCTATTTGTGTGCATGCTTCTTTGTCTCTGTGAGGTATGACATGCCTGATAGTGGAGGGGAGCAGCTGTGCGTTGGACCTTGTCTGTGTTGTTCTGCCATGCCCTGTCATTGCTAGCCGTCTGTTGGCAGCAGCCTGTGCTGGAGGCTTGCAGTCTGGGCAAAATCTTTCCTCGGTGTCATATGGTGAGCTCTCCCCATGCCAAGCCATGCCTACTATGTTATCCTGCACAGCTGTTTGACAGAGCCCGCCTACTCAACCAGTGATATGTGCCATTTCTTTGCATTATTCAGATTCCGATTGCTTTTTTAACGTCGCCGGATGGCTTAAGCTTTCCAAGAAGAAAATTATATTCTCAATATAAAATTTGGAAGATACAGCTTCTTAGTTTTTTTTTTTGTTTTTGTGGTTTCTATTTTTTTCAGCTCTGATCCCAGTAGCTTTTAGTGCAGTGCTTTCCTGTCTATTTATCCATTATCTGTGCATCATCAGGCAGACCATTATCCCATTATGTTTTGCATCTGTGGTCCAAATGCTTACTGGAAATGAGTCACCACAAAGCCCTGTAAAAGGTAGGTGTTACTATCAGACAGCTATTCATAGCCAGCCCGTCAGGGCTGAAACTATCACATCCTAAAAGTCCTCAGCACAATGTGAAAGTTTTTTTTCTCTCTCTTTGCAGTTATTTTATCTGCAGAGGAACATGGCTGTTTTATGAGGAGCCAGAGGAATGTTTGATGTAAAAGCATCAAGAACTCCAGTCACAATCTGACCTCATGTTATGTCCCCAGCTTGTTTGACTGTGCTGTATTTAGGTCATTTTTAACAAGCGTCTGTCTCTCCCTGTTTGGCTCAGGTGACCAGCCCACCTGTAGCACCCTTTTGTTGCCATGGAAATATCATGGCCATCTTAGCACACTTCGGAGTTCCGACTCATCGTTTTTTTTTTTTTTTTTTTTTTTTCCTTCCAAAAGCTTTTTTTCCCTGGTGCTTTAAAACCATTGGCAAATTTTTTAAAATTTCTTTTTGTTTTTTTTTTTAGTTTTTTTTTTTTCATATATAGATTTCTTTCAACATATATTCTTATATATTTTTGCCTCTGGTGCCTGTTTTGATGTTTGAAAAGTTGTAAGAGCTGAAGTGCGTTTGTTTATGTGCTTGATAGTAATACACAGTGCTGGCTGTGCAAATCAGCTTAGCGAGGCAATGTGCTGGCTGGGCTGACTGTGGTGGGTGCCTGTGTCGCTGACACAGCATCTACTGTGTGTGGTGTAAAGCACCCAGGGCCACCACTCTGTCAGCCAGTGTGTGTGCGTGCGTGTGTGTGCGCGCGCTTATCCTGTGACAGAGCTCACACGGTGGAAGGCACCAGACCCTCTGCCTGTCTTCACACCAGTTGGTTAGATTTCTTTGCTGCACGGCTTCTCTCAGCCCTCATTTCTGCTTTGACAGAATGAACTGCAGTGCGGCCATGTTCCTCTGAACAGTACTGTAGCTCTGCATCAGTTACAAAGCATCCCCTTTTTATTGATTCTGGGGATGGGAAGTGTCTTGTGTTGATGAAAGGCTGCCCTGTTTCCTGTTACTTTTGTGGCTGAATATTAGCCCAACTGCTTAAGAAGTTGTACTTAACAGAGGTTACCCCTCTTGGGTTCTGTTTCCAAGACATATCAAATTGCTGCCCACTGATTAAAGACCAATCTCCTTGTAACTCTTCACAGAGCTGTTTGAACACAAAATTTAAGAGAGAATTTTTTACTGAATTTTTTACATCTTTTACTGAATTGTGCATGTCTTTTCAACCTAACCTCTGCTGAAGCTTAAAAGTTCATCCATCAGTTTTTCTATGGTTGACTGTGTATATTGACTTGGAAATCTTGAGGCCTTTTTTTAAAACTTTTTTTTTATTTCAGGTTGTAGTCATGCCGTATCTTCTTTCAGAGAAACACTTTAGTTTGCCTCTTCTCATCCTGGTGTTTTACCCACACTGTTTGTGACTTATCTTTTCACAGAACAGCTAGAAGAACAGGTGGACGCAGCTCTCGTGGCATGACTACCACAAACAAGGGAAACAAGGCCTTAAAGGTAACACGTTTTGACAGCACCGACCAGCTCCAGAAGTGACCAATGTAGAATACAGACCCTCACTGACTAGTCTGCACCTGCAGGTGAAGCGGGAGCCCGGGGAAAATGGCACCAGCCTAACGGACGACGAGCTGGTGACCATGTCGGTGCGAGAACTGAACCAGCATTTACGAGGGCTGTCGAAAGAAGAAATCCTGCAGCTGAAACAGCGGCGCCGCACCCTGAAAAACCGCGGCTACGCCGCCAGCTGCCGAGTGAAGCGCGTCACCCAGAAAGAGGAGCTGGAAAAGCAAAAGGCTCAGCTCCAGCAGGAGGTGGACAAGCTGGCCACGGAGAACGCCAGCATGAAGGTGGAGCTGGACGCTCTGCGCTCCAAGTACGAGGCCCTCCAAAGCTTTGCCAGGACTGTGGCGCGCAATCCTGTCACCTCCGCAAGGGGACCTATGGCCTCTGTGATAGGGCCCCTCATCCCTGGTAAAGTAGCTGCCACCAGCGTCATCACCATCGTCAAATCCAAAACGGAGGCTAGGTCGTAGTAGCAGCGGCTGGAGGAGGATTCTCATGGCTTAACTAGTCAGTGCATTCTAACAGGCCAGGATCTGTTGTGTAAGTTCTCAGTTTTCCTTTGGCACTAACGGTATGCTTCCCAGCTCACTTCCAAAAGTGGGAATCAGCAGCGTGTGCTGGCCAGCAGTGGAGGTGTATGTGGTTGTGTTAGGGTAGTTATTAACTGGCCCCAAACTAGGACTGTTGTTACGTCGTTGCTTTTGAAAAATAGCGCAGATACTGCGCATATCTACTTAAGACTCATAAGTCTTTTTTTTTTATTGGAATTTGATGAATCTCAAAGATGTTTATAACCAGTTAAATATGATTTGTAGATGTTATTCCTCTCCTAGACACCTGCCGGAGGAAAAGCAAGCCCAGATCTTACTACAGAAGGCCCTCTGCTCGTTACTCTGCACTGACTTTAAGAAGAAATGGCATTTGGTCACATTATTGGTTTAAATGCTCCAAGTCTTCAAAACAACCTGACTAATCCCAAACTAGTCAATCAATCTAATTCCTTATATATTTTTTTCAGGGTTGTTCATGAAGACTATAGGCATGAAAATATGCCCCCAAACCTAGCATTCTGTTTTTGTTTATGCATCCATGACGGGCTTCAGTGAAGTTGTCATTATCAACATGACTGGTAGATGCAATAATATAAATGTATGCACTGAAAACACAAAGAGATCTTGCATATTTATGGTGAATAGAAAATGATCAGCAGTTCTTAGAAATATTGTTCCAGAGCTGAATGCCATTCTAGTATGACAAGATTCCTCTACAATATCCGAAAACCTGAATGTTACCACAGTAATATCCTATGTTTTGTGGGTACAGTGGAAACCACAAACATTTTGAGATGTTGTTTTTGCTCATAAAGAAAATGTGTTGTTTTTCTTTAAATGGGATGAGTGTATATATATATATGTATATATATATATATATATATATATACATACATATATATACATGTCCCGTACAGAATCTTTTTTTGGAATAACTTGTTAACAAGGCCGTGTCATATATTTCCAAAAGAAAGTCTTTACACAAGCTTTACTGTTGTTAAGGTGTAGAAAACTTTGTCTAATGTTGAGTTCTTGGTTTTTATTACTAGGTAGAATAACTTCCATTGTTTATAGAAATACAGAAAAAGAAAATTGGGGAAAAAAAAGAAAAAAAAATCCTGTGACATCCTTTTTGCAATTGTACCGAAAGTGGCTTACTATTGAAGTCTGATAGCTTTTTCTAGTAAATAGGCGCGTACAGTGGGGTAGCGCGTGACGTGACGTGTAAGTGACAAGTTGACAGTGTCGTTCACTGTATAGATGTCAATGCTGTGCTATTTAAAACAATTCTGTAGAGCTAAAATAGATGGTGTAAACAAGGTCAATTGTCTTTGTGCGTTTTGGCATCTGTGATATCCTCTGCTTCCTCGGTGTTAGTTACAGATCATATTGTCATTAAGAGTTTACCACATAGAGCGGTGTTGGACAGAAATTGGTAAAATGGCATCGGAGAACATTAACTCTGAGGACTTTTAAAGTTTAAAGGGATAGGGGATCAATCGTTGCAGCTGATATTCGATGCCTTCTAAACACACCTTTCCTCGCTTGGAATTGACTTCATTTTAGGGAAGAATTCATTATCATTCCAACCACTTACTTGCAGAAAGAATTTCCCTTAAAATGCAGCTTTACAGTTTATCTGTGGATACGTTTCTTGACAAAGCAGTTTGATAAGACTACGACGTGAATATTGCGCAAATGACCTTGAGGGGAAAGCACCCCGGGGTGCGGTAGGGTTTCTACGTATGCACTAAGCTCCTGCTTGTTTTGCTCAGGACAAAACAGGCCAATAGGAATGAACAAATCTTTCTGAGATGAAAAGCAAAGAAGCAGGGATGGCAGCTCTTTACTCTTTGGTTGTTGTTGGTTGTTGTTTTTTTTTTTTGGTCCCTCTCTTTCTTTCCCTATTTCAAGCATGTCATTAAAGGGCTTCAATCCACACTCAGAAACAGCGCGACCATGTAGAATTACAATCATCACAGCTGCCAGCAGCGCTTCCTCCGTGCCAAGTGTTGTATTGCTTCCCCACTCCTCTGAAAGGAGTCTGCCGCACACCTCAAGGTGAACGCAGCGTAATGTGTAATGACATTAACCAAACGCACTTCATCCAGGTCTCACTCTCCCGGCCGCCGGCCGCAGCGTCTCGTAGTGTCGGGCGAGGTGTTAAATCCACGCTCGCTCTGGAAAAAAGGGCGTCTCAGCAAATGCGCACGCCAGGGCCGTGGGCGCTGGCTCTACTGTCCGTGCGCAGGTACCCTCACCGTCTCCACGCGCTTTTGGCCGTCTGCAGGGGCTGCCGAACGGTGGGAAAACATATATGTGACTCTTGACATAGCCCAGTATTGATGTTGGCGTCCGTATTGCTGTGGCAGTCTTGTGGAGTGAATCTTTTTCGTGTCAAGTGTCTTTTAAGGTGTTCGAGTGGCGCTGTTGACCAATCGTTCAATCTCAAGATGACAACTCTTTCTCACACACGCCGGTGTATAGTATGTAGCTGCAGTAGGTATTCTTGACCATTGTGAAAAAGTGACCCTTAATATGCAACTCAGTGGAAAGGTGAGAGAGAGTAGATGTAAGAGTAATCAATATTGTCAAAGTTGCTGGAGTCTGTTGTTTAACTGTTCTTGCTGGTATGTTTTTTTGGTTTGTTTTTTTTGTAAACTATTTTTCGTTGAAGAGCAATTGGCCCTTGTTTACTTTGATTTAAACTGTACCATTTTCAAGGAAACCACAAAACGAATGCACTCGGGCCTTCCTCATATGCCCTGGTCTTAAACCGGCTGCATGACGGAGTCAGAAAGCGCAAACAGATGCTGACTGAGATGTTTCTCTGATTTAGATGTTTGCGCGCTGACTGGAGTGCATGCTACAGAAGATTCAGTCACAAGGGCCTCTTGCAATATTTTTCGTTTTTTCTCTGGAATACCTGTTTGTGTGTGCGTGTGTGTGTGCGTGTGTGTGTGTGCGTTTGTACGAGCGAGGTTTCTCTGCTGCTACACCAGTCACTAATGCTCATTTGCTGTGTCTACCGCAGCACTTCTGTTCTCATTCTGCGTTGTGTGTATTTGAAACTGATTTTAAGAGTATCGTTCTGGCTTCTTTTGTTCTTCTTTTTTATTTTTTAAAACAATCATGTTAGAGAGGATAAGTAAAAGCACTTGTGCGGCAGTTGAATTAAACAGCTCTCAAGACTTTCAGTTTTTTCAAGTGGAAATACGCTTTGTAAACAGTTGACTGTGCAGGTTTTCCCCCTCTTGCTCCATGGAGTGGGTCTGTGTTTCAAAGTTATGGAAATCTGACTAAAGCGAGTAATACAAAGTTAATGATCTGTTTTGTTATTTTTCTGTATGGGTTGTAATAAAATATTGCAGTACTTTGTATGAAAACAGAATAGTTAATTGTAACTATTTATAAATTAAATTATTGTACTTTTTGCAATCTGTAGATAAGTACTATGTATTCATATACAGCAACAACTGTGGATTTAAATGTGATTCTCTGAGGTGTCTAAGTTATTGATGTATATATTGTATGTTTGTTGATACAGCTTACTTTATTTTCTATAAGAACAATAAAATGTTTTGGAAAAGGATCATAAGCATCCCTGCTGTCATTTAAACATAGTAGAAAATTAGGTTTTGTTATAATCTGTGGCGTCATTGACCCAGTTTGATACTTGTAAAAATAAACTGGCGGGGAAGGCTTTTTGCTGTCCAGGGTGGGTTTTAGAAGACAGCGATCATTTAGATGGCACAATTTCTTTTTCTGTGATCCAAAAAAAGCTATCGGGCGACCCACTTTGGCTAACCTCGGTGGACATATTTTTGGCCCGACACGAGTAAAACATTAGAGTCATGAAGGATGTCTAGGTGTGCTTGTCCTAGATTAGGAGGAGTAGTGAGTTAGTCATCTGTGCTCCCTGTGGAGCTCCTCAGCCCCCCCCCCCTCCTGTCTCAGCGCGCCCCTCATCAAACATCAGCCTCCTCAGCAGCGTTTCAAACCCGCCTCACTCAAAAGCCGTCTCATGAGAAAACTCGCACCGACAAAGAGACAGATGGCCAGAGACGAACGGCGTCTCGCCGCCCCGTCCAGAGCCCTGAGCCTCGGCGCGGTGGCGGCGGGATGTTGTTCCGCCGCCGGCTTAACTGGAGGAGGCCTCTGCAGGGCTCTGTGACCTGTGCCTCAAAGCAGGCGCTCCTCTCCTTGGATGCCCGCCCCAGACACCCACATGGCCTCTGAAGAGTTGATTAATTTGGCGGGTTGGGTTAAGGTGAGCCGGGAGAGGAGGAGGAGGAGGAGGAGGAGGAGGGGGGGGGTGGTGGGGAGGGGGGGGGGGGGGTGGGGGGGGGGGGCAGCTATGTAGGACAGCATTCTTCATCGTCACCCACTTCTTCAGCAGGTGCCTGCCCCAGTTCTCAGACCACAACCTGCCGTACAATTAATGTTGCCATGGCCATCAGCAAAGCTGATCATTTACAGCACATTCCCTGGAAAAAAGAAAAAAAAACAGAAACCTGCCATGGAGTTCCATTCAGCAAATTCCACCACTGCAGAGGAGTTGTGCTTTCATCGGGACGAGGTTTGGAAAACAAAACAAATTCTTATGGTGGAAACGATTTAGGTCGGTGTGATGTGATGTGAAGAAACTCTCGTCCTCAGAATTTGTCTGATTTGTCTGAGACCAGAAGAAAAAAAAAAGATGCTACACAGATAAAGAGACCACACAAAAGGTCTCAGGATGTCTGAACTTCCAGGGTTTCCTGTGCCGGCTCGACAAAGTGGGCTTAGGCCTCCCTCTGCTGGCCCCTGCCCGGTAAAGCTGCATCCATCTGAGAGGGTTTTTCCTGGAGATGACACCGCGTCCTTCCAAACACAGGATTTCCCGGAGTCTTACCAGAGTGAAAGGAGCCCGTCTTCACCTCTGAGGTGACACTTTCAAGTTATGGACTGTTGCTCAAAAATAATGTGAGCCAGAGGCAGAGAATAATCCGATCTGGTGTTACAGATTTTTGTTGACCGGCTAAAAGTGGGTGCATGATTGTGTTGCCAGTGCAGATGCTTGCTCATGTTGTATTCAGTCTAATCATTTAATACAAGATGATATTGTCAGGATTTTTCCAAAAGAGTGATATTGATGATTAGTTTTAAACTTACGACAGATCGTTTAGAAATTAATTATCCTAAGAGTCGTTTTACATGTCTTATTTTTAATTTATTTCCCAGCATTTCAACGTTGCAGCATTGGACAAACACCTTAAAATGACGTGACCTTTCGGGTCATTCAGGAATAAAACCCAGAGGGAATTACTGAACAGGGAGTTTACAATTATACATTATACTCATGGAATTATTGAAACTGTGTCTATGGACTGGGAAAACAGCTGGCTCTGTTCCCTAATCATTTATTCAATAGTAGAAATGTCCTTACTGGTTTTCCAACACTTTTCACGCAACACGCATTTTCAAACATTTATTTTGTGTCCTCATCATGTGAAATAAAATCACAACACCACTCCTGTACTTTATGGCCTTATTTTCCCATTTTGAGTAAATAAAATCCACGTAAGCTTATCTCGCGTGCGTCTCGCCTCACCTGACTGCAGCTGGGGACACCTAAGGGGCGTCTGCATCCGTGCCCATGCTGTCACGTGACCGGGGAGAAACTCTGTGTTATGTAACGTGCAGGCTGCTCGCGCAGGCTCCCGAACCACACTCTGCGCTTTATGTCAAGTCCCAGACCCTGAGTTAGGGTTGGAAATCTTTTCTTGATCTAAATAAACCCCCCGTGCACAGCCCGGGAGTGGCGCGCGGGGCCCGGGGGGCGCTGCGCCCTTCCGTCGCGTGCGCTCTGCGCGCTCGGACCGGCCTGACGCACGCTGCGTCCGCGCGTGCGTGCTGCCGTGGGAGGAGGCGTTGCCGCATCGCGTCGCTGCTGTTTCTGCCGCTGCCGACACAGTTGCCCGGCCATCCTGCACAGACACGGCACGCGCACCTGACGCGAGCACGGCGAAACCCACCTCACTAAAAGGACGAAAAGAGTCTCGGCTGAATATCGCTTTTTTATTTTTTGGACTGATTTCTCCTGTGGCAACGGGATGATCAAGAACGGCCACCACCACCACCACCAAGTGAGCCCCGGGAAAGACGCAGGCACGACCCCCGCCGCTGCGGCGTGCAGTCCCGAGAAGAGGAGGCGCAGGATCCGGGTCTGGTGCGATGGATGGTGAGTTCCGCCTCTCATGCAGTAGATCTCACCACCCTGTCCCCCATCGTCTGCTCTTGGCTCGTTTGGATGAGAGCGGGAGCCTGTGATCTGACACCGGTGCAGGCCTGCTGCAGGTTACGGGACGCCCCTTAATCCCCTATCAGTTCACCATAGGCAAAACTTTGACTGTTTTTTTTTTTTACCGAGCATTTATAATCCAGGGATCGGTTTAATCATCTTTATCAAATCCATTGTGCCTGTATTCAAATCAATTAGCTCTACTTTGCACTACATACAAGCCTGGCCCATCACAGTATAGGCTGTTACATAATGACACAGGTATAGGATGGTAATGGTGCTTTCATGGTCTTTTTTATTCCTTACTGCTGACCTGACAACTGTTTTGCTGTGGGTTAATGTTTTATGGTGAAGAAGGTTATTATAAATCCTGAGGACAAAAGTGTCTGTAAATGTCTTATTTTTCCTCAGTAGTTAGATCCAGGAACCAGAGACAGTTCACAGGAAACACACATTAATACTATAGATTAATACTATAGAAATGGGTTGTCTGTGGGTTACTGTATGATATTCAAAGTGAATCGTGCAAATTGTTTGAGACACCAGGACAACTTTCATCTTCCAGGGAATATTTTTGTGGTGTCAGCAGTTTTCGGGTAAGCACCAAAGACACTCACATTAGGCACAAATAACAGGAAATGGGTAAATTCCATGTGTAAGCTTTGTTTGAGTACCACGGCCATCTTATTACACAACAAATGATTTACCTTTCTGAAACCACTCCATCGGAAAAAGTGCAAATAAAATACACTATATTGCCAAAAGTATTTGCTCACCCATCCA